GATGTTGATTCAAAATGGCGTAGTGGATTGTATATTTTGATTGGTGCGAAGATAAACTGGAAGATGAATTGATAGACCCCAGCTATCGCTTCGGGTCAAAATGCCAAAACCTAAATTATCTCTTCATGTATTTTAGACATACTCGTATAACATCTACACAAGGTACTTGTTTCCCATGTTGAAGTTCTGTCTAATTTTTAACACTGGCCATGTTTTTTAAACAAATGGTTCTATAGTATTTTCCACAACAATACCTTTGAACTAAGTACTATCTGATACCTAAAGATACGCAGTTGAAGATGTGTCGCAACCACAGCCATCAGAGTCGTGATAAAGGCCCACGACATGCATGCGCCCTCTGTCATCTGAGCATTGGCACGTAAAATACTACTATATCATGTCACTGAATCAACAATATCAACGCTTATTAGTTCAAAACAAGTTGTACCTTGATTGTCTTTCTCATAAAATACCTAGCCGTAGCCATGCCAAGTTGGGTTCAGAAAGCTCGCCTCGAAATAACAATTTGCAAATAAATAGACTGATTATGTTTTGCTATTCCATATAATTGAGCTATTACATTATTATTCATTTCTCAAATCCCCGTGTAGCATACTAGAATCATATGGGTAATTGGAAATCTGTAAAAGTTACAACCAATCATTGTTCATTGTTTCGTGCTGTGACAGCATAAAAAGAAATAACATAATATTAGGGTGGTCATCTTGACGAATGTATGGTCATATTTTAAACGCCATAAATATCTTCTTTTGACCAAAGTCATCTTATCGGCGTTAAAATAATTCTATCCTATTAGCGTTAAAAATACATTTTGAGGGAGTTCTAATTCTAGATGGCGTGTTACGTTAAGTTGTTTAACGGCGCGCCTTTTAAGTATGACAATGTTGTTCCAGATGGCCATCTTCGACTTACAAGGTGTTATGAAGCTGGAGCAACTGGAACCTTGTGGCCACACGTGATTATACTCGTACTGTATTTGGTTCACATTTCTAAATGACTTCTTTGTCCTTTCCAGAGTTTCAAACAAAATGATTGTTGGGTCGTATGAAAGACATTAACATTAATCGAGGCAACATTTTTAGTACGAGCTTTACGATGAAAGTCTGATTCTGATTCTGCATATAGGTGAACATCCCGTATTCATGTTCTTCGTTCTGATCTGTATTAATCGCAAGTATTATCTTCACTAAAATATTGTAATTTCTAAAATAAGTCAAGGACAAATATATGCTGGTGAATTCATTTGATAATACGGTAAATGTCATAAAGGAGCACATAGGTTATCGCAAACAATTTCAAACGATTCTAACTTGAATTATGAATATTTTCTGATCATGAACATGGGTGTACCTTTTAGATGCATTCATTATCTTCAAGAAAAAGTATATATAATGATAATTTAGTTAATCAGACCTAAGTGATATTGAAGGGGCAATGGACCAATCAACATACCTTTTCAAAAATGTTGATCTAATTTTCACCAAAAATGCAACCTTTTATTATATTGTTGAATGCATAATTAGAATGTGCTTTGAGACATGTTCGATTTCGTAAAAGGAAAAGTTGATTGCTCCAGGGACTTTAAAGATACTGAATTTGGATGACCAAAATGAACTGAAACCAATGGATAGCATGAGATTTTTCAATTGAGAAATAACATGGGGAACACTTATCTTAAAGCAATTAAGTTTTTCTTTTGAGAACTATTTGATACATCAAAATAAAAAATAGTAATGCATTAAACATTGTAATAAATGATTGCATTTTTGGTGAAAATGGGGTCAACATCTTTGAAAAAGTGTGTTGATGGGTTGATTGCTAGTTAAATATCTGCGAGATTGTTTGACTTTATTATTACTGTATATAATTTTCTTTGAGATAATGAATTGATCTAAAAGATAAACCTGTCTTCATTGTCAGAAAATAGTCATAATCCAATATATAACCTTCTGAAATTGTTTGCGATAACCTACGTGCTCCTTTAAAGTTATTATGAATAGCAGGGTACCTATGACTGAACCTTTTTAAATTGAGCGGCCATATAAAAAGTTCCTTCTCAAGCAGAGGTTCTACACCCATAATAAAATTTGAACCAAAATCCGCCAACCAGTATTTCAGTTAGCCCCTGGGCACACAAACAGATGAACGGACGAATGGACGGACGACTTTGGTTTCAGTTGCTATGAAGTTCTTAGTGACCTAACATCATGAACTTTCTCTCAACAATTGCTTTGACAGGTCAGACAACACATATATTCGTCTGTTCCTATTAAATCTTTAGAAAGCTAAAACTGGAAAATGGCGTCAATGTCAACAAAATCAATGATGCCCTGAAATTATTGCTCTGCTGTCTATTACCAAATTAATTCGTGAAATAGCAAAGTATTGGTACATAAACATCACAATAGACATTTTAGATCATTTTCTAGAAATATATTTCATTTTATTCTTTATCCTTGTGGAATAAATAATTTTGATGAATTGGAATTACAGAATAAACATGTTAATATATCTATAAATATTCCCTTTGTACATGCTAACTAATAAATTTCAGTGATTTGTAACAATAATTTATTGGAGCTTGCAACATTGAATAAAGTACAATTGCGGAACTCAGTAGTCATTAAATCAGATTAACTCGTTTATCTTAATGAATATATCCTATTCAATTGTCCATTATTTATGATGCATAAAATAGTTATTTACTCTGAGGGATATGATATAGGGAATATCCCAAAGATAAATACTGTAAATCCAGTGAATGAAGGAAATATTGAGAGTATACCATAATCAAGAGCAATATCTACCTAAAAACCCCTATCTGTCAATAGTGTTGGTTTAGTCTACTTTAGACGCCTGAAAATAAAAATGAAATGAAGTCTCCCCCGAGGATTCCCTCGAGGAATAATAAACACATTGAGAAATATCGCTGGTAGATATACGTATCATCCAGATAGGTTTCAATCACAGATATATCTTGATACTGCTCTGGTAATGGTATTCTAACAGTCTTTCCATGGTGTAAATTAAAATACAGGCACTGTACAGTGTACATTACACTAACAGATACTATTTGAAATAACCTTATGCTTTTAATATTTTTAAATTGAGTATTTTTACAATGTCTCATTTTGTAGAAGAACCCTACAATGACATCCAGGATTTACATAAATTCTTAATAACTCCAGTTAAAACTGCAGCTGTTTGTTTTTTGAATAACAAATAAAAATTGTTTTTCCATTCTCACACACAAAACTCTTAAATGTCATTACAAAATGTTAAAGAATAGAATTTTTCTCATAATGTAAACACTCACTGAGTGTTCATAATTGGATCTATTGCACTTGTTTCAGATACTGCAAATACAAGCTTTATAACGATCATGTTTGTTAAGAGGCTTTGAGCATCTTAGTACATAATAGGATTTAGGATCTATGCTCTCTACCATACATGAGCTTTCTCACAATACTAATTAACAACTCACTGGGATTTATATTACAACCTTTAGAATTAAATCAGTAGCCTAGCCATTCACTGCTAAATAAAAAATAAATCCAATGAGGAATATTATAGGCTACACATATTTTATCTATTACATAAAAATTGTCATTGGATCATGTGTCTAGTCTGATGATCATTCTACACAGTGGCTTCAAAAGCTGAGAGACACTGTTAATTTAATTCCAGACATTGGGATAATATGATTTTCGTATTAATGCCTGCTATTTTATCCACATCTTAAAAGACAAAGCTGACATTAACAAAATGTGTACTTTAACTTCTAAGACAGTAAATAACACAACAAAGATTTGATTTCCAAGGTATTTTCTTGATCTTTACTTGATCTTACCGACTCATTAATTTTATAATAAATCGTGCATTTCACTGACTTAAGGGTCCTTATGAGCAATCAAACAGTTCATCAATTCACATAATGTTCAAGAATTTGAATGGAAGCTCGTATTTTAAGAGATTACTCAAAATTGAACAGTTAAATGTTGGGTAAGGTATTACATAAGGGTTACATAAGGCACTTGAGTAAATGAATAAAAGCAGCAGGGATGAAAAATATAAGGTGAGATTACTTCACAATTGAATCTAAAATGTGTACCAGAGACAAACTTTCTAATATTAACGTCACAGCATTGTTGTCTCGCGGAAAATTAGATCAAAATTGACTAAGTTATAATCATTTTGACGAGAATTTCATTTTCTAATAAAATCTCTGGCTTAAAAATTCCCCCAAAAAATAGATCTCTATTTACAAAATGGTTACATATATCCCAGGACATGTAATGATTAAAAATGCATTGCTTCAAATTGTGAGCCAATTGAATAAAATGGATTCGCCAATAAATCACTGTTGTATTTACTTGAGCTCATGTATCTGTCACTTATTTCAAGATTCAGTATACATCACTAATGAAAAACAATCATATGAAACCTTGGTTTTTAGCAATTAGTCTACAATTCAAGAGTACATACAGTACAGTTACAACATACAGTTGTATACATGGAATGTTAAAACATTGTAATTGGTTTATCCTCAATTTGACTTTTTCCGCAGAGTTTCAACAGAAACAGGCAGAGTTAAATAAAGCATAAAATTTATATCATCTAAAGCACAAGATACCTATACAAAAAATTATGGTTGATGGTGCTCTTCCGATTAGTAATAATATGTATGAGACAAGTACAGTTGTCAATCTGAATAAATATATACTGTTTATATACCGGGGCTGTATTATTAATTTTTCATATTCATAACCATTATAAATACAATGTATATCATAATATATAAACAAACATATAAATTTGATATAAATCACCAAATCTCAAAATAAAGCACACAATAAGTAGAGTAGTGAGTATTGTATCGTGGGTGTAATCCCTTTGCCTTATATTCCCTTATACCTTATATAATTTCTTTTAGACTAAATAAAATAAATACCATATCGTAAAGTATCAATTATTTTTTCGTAGTGTATTCAGGACCATAGCCAAGAGGAAGGGGGTTTCGAGCAGACCCAAAATGTGAACTCCCCCTAATATTTTTGGAAGTGAACCCCCCTTGGCAAAAACTGGCTATGAACCTGGTAACCAATGATAACCGATTTTTTATCTAAAGATAACAGTAGCCAATGTTACTGAATGTAACACTTTTGTCCATTTCTAGAATATTTTTAACTAAGTTATGGTAAGTGTGTGGAACTTAGAACTTTCTCAATATTGGAATGTGTTTAACAATGTTCCCCCAGGAATGTTCCATCCTTGACGAGAGGCTCAATATATACCTTAATATAAAATCAAATTTGATCAATATTGCAGAGCAGATTTGATGTCCAAAAACTATTCAGTTCTAGATTTCTATACCAAGAACTTAAAACCATCTCTGAAAATATATCACATGACTGTACCAATTCTTCTTCAATATGTAGATAAGACAATGCAGACAACATTTAAAGATTGGAAATTGGCAATAGTATCTAATGTTTCTCCTAAATTGCAAAGATCAATGTGATGTGTGGTATTTCTCATCTCAATTCTTAATTAAACTAGTCCTTTCTGTATCCTTGGACTGCTGAGAAGCTACAATTGCATCCCCTGGAGTATTTTCATCTACATCCTCCTGATTAAAGTGTCCGTTCCTAAGTTTGGAAGGTGGCCTTTCTGTCTCTATGTTACTGTGCCATATGCCATAGCAGAAGTAGATCAACATACCTGAAAAATAACACAATAAAATATAGCATTGCATGAACAAATAATGAATAGGGAACCAACACTAACCAATTCTGTCAGAAGATATGAACTCATGGATGGGAAAGATTTGACTCGTTCCTAACGTCCAATATATTTAATTTCAAAGCATTTACGATAAATCTCCTATTGTGAAGAAGTTCACTTGGTAGATTATTGACAAATTACATTCAAGACAATTCCACCTACACTCACTGCCAATATATCAGACTTTAAGTTATTTCAGATAGTGTAGGTGGAAGTGTCTTGATTCAATGTGTGTTTAATATGGAAAACAACCAAAACCCATTAAATCAGGTGAAAGAAGTAGGAGTAACAGTTTCATACTTTTTTCCCCTTTTTGAGTAACAAAGGGACACAGTTGATGTTCCTACTTAATAGTTTCTTCCCATTAGGTCATATTTTAAAAGTAAAAAAAAGAGATGGTGCATGCAACAGGATAGCTAAACTGTGGCTGTAGTTAGGGGAGTGTTCTGGAGACTCATAATTTCATTAACAAAATATTTTCCCTAAACATCTTCCATTTTAAAATAATGGGTGGAAATTGGCATTTAATTTGATTTTTTTTAAATCAAAATTTGTATTTTTCGAGCTCCACTGGAAACTATGGGCCCCTCTAGATGAAATCTAGTGATAGGCCTAAACATGCATGGAGTATAGAAATCTCAAGAAAGAACCAAAACAGTGACAACCACAAATGATAAAACAATCAGCGAGAAGGTAAACAATGATAATGGGGCTACAAAATATAGGAAAACAAATATTTCATAGCCAATTTAGCATGGACAATCAGTTTATAGTTTACAATTTGTTGTTGTTTTCAGTGATACACGTCATGAGTCACATTAAACTGTTCTAATATTGTGTTGTGATTGATGGCTGTAAATAGTAATTGGAGTTCAGTATAATTTCTGTTAAAAGGTGATAGTTTTAGCAAATAGCATTTGATGATAGAGCTATAAGCTCTTGAACAAGTTAGCCAATACATGTAATTTGAGAAAACATTAGAAAACCTTTACTGTTTTGTCACTTAACAAGGCCACAAAACTAGATTAAGAATTCATGGAATTTTAAAAAAACAAAAACATATTTACAGAAATTCGTATTACAATTTAGACATGATATTGCTACAAATCTGTTTAAATAGTATGTTCATTAATTAAATATGGGGCAATTTTGATAGTCTGAAAATTAGGAAAATTGTTTTTAATTTGTGTTGAAAGTAGAATAATTAAATATTCTGAGATTAAGATGTAAAAACTGTAAATATAATAGAATGGTCTCCTTTGTAATTGAATTCATGGAGTCTTTGAAATGTTTAATAATAAAAGACTTGTACCAGGATTAAATCATAAATAACTTAAAAGGGTGAAGGATAAGAGGTATAACCTTTAAGAAGACTGTAAACTTCAAGATTCTTTAATGATTAACTGCCCGATCTTTATTAGCAAAGCATGTTTAGTCGACGAGACAAAGGATGGAAAAGAATCGTTCCTATAAAATGCTCGTATATAAAATGATATCTGGGAAAATGTCTACTTATATAAGAACTTACGAGTTCAAAGATGTCATAGTAACATTTAAGGCTGAATTTATAACCTAATGGTCAATGGTATTCATTTTTAATGGATTTTATGTGCTAATGAGACACAAAGAAAAATGTCATCATATACAGAGATAAATGAACCATAATATCCGCTTTCAAATCTGACAACCCTGGGGTCAATATTATGCATTTCTAAAATATTTTATCATATGTTATGTGCCCGTTAAACAAAAAGAAATATGCTATCATCTAGAGATAAATGAACCAACTCATCTGATAAATTTAGTGAAAACTTCTGTGGGAAAATGAGCCTCAATAAGCTAATTTAGAGAACAATGGCATTAAACATAATTCAAACTGAAAACATTGCAACAAATTCTAAATACTCTGAAGACTAAAACTGAAAGAACGTTCTGATGCAGATAAGCCTGTTTTACTCTTACAATAGCAAAGTGTCAGAACGATTATTCCACTCTTCTGTTTCTTTAATTAATGATTCATTCAAGACTAGTTAAGCGTACGTAGACACAAAAAACAAGTAGGATTTCTTTTTGTATTACGTGGACCAACTCATAAGAACAACTCACTTACATTCGATTAAATACACGGACCTAGCTATCCTGGCTATTTTCAAAATAATTAATTTATGATGCTTGAAAGGATGTGGAGGAATAATTGGCAAAATGCATCAATGAAAATCTCATCCAACAGTGCCTTGTACTTGAGCTTGATTGGCTAATTCAGATTATTTATATCACTTAAGTATAGTGGGATGTGATGTCCTTCATCGAAGTATTCCAAAACATACATGTTATACAAATAGGGTTCCATCTATCTTACCACGAATAATTCATCAATGTAAGCAAATTAGATGTATCTAACAAATGATGAATATCCTTTAAATTTGTTTATGATAGACTGGACAAGAAAGGTGGATAGAGGACAGACACAAGTTCAATAACACTGTCTCTTGGGAGGTTTACGTAAAGCGTTCACTATCAGCTTATCTAATTAGACTGTCTCCGAGGGCTAATCTTTAAAAAACAATTGCGTTTTATTGACCTGGATTTTGCCATTAGGGTTGATCTAGACAAATTTGCAATCTGTCCACAACTTAGTCGCCTGTTATTGTTCGGAATTTTTCTGATAACATTAATCTAATTCTTCATTTGATGCTCAGAGAAAACATCTCAGTGAACGGCTACTCGATGTCACATAATACAAGATAAAATAAAACACAAAAATGTACTTCTAATAAGAAGAGATTTTCCAAGCATTTCAGGGAAAGTACAAATAATGTAATATTCAGGTCTTTGTATAAGTAATCCACTAATGTTTCCTAATACATGTACATATAGCAGAAGCATTTCTAGGACTTGGAAAGATACCCATGATCATCAATCACCAAATGTAAACCCCTTTGATGGACTTCTCTATTACATTCCTATCTCTAGCTCTTTTTAAACTTCTCTTGTTTCTAAATCAAATCACTGCATCGACTATTACAGTAAAACATGTTTAGAGTTAATGCTGCTTTGATGAGTTTTTGTGTTCACAAAGAAAGGTTTTCCCAATAGAGCTTCTGAGATCAGTGAAGTCAATAAGGTATCCAAGAAAAGAAAGCTAAATATTCAATTATTTGTGTTAAAAGGGGGGGGGGTCTTAAATTAAGTTAATACAATGTTACCTAAAACCATCCAAATTGCAAATCTTATCCACGTCTGAGAGGAGAGTTTCAGCATCAGGTATGTGTTTACAAATATACTGATAAAAGGAAGGAATGGAAGAAAAGGAACCTGGAAATACAAAATATAACACATTTCAATAATATTGCAACTTTCATCATTATTTTTTTGTCATGGTAGGTTAAAGGTAGGTAATAAGTTATAAACATTTCAGATTTACTAGTCGAAATTGAACTATGGATAAGTGGATGTGATATTTTTCCTATAATTGATAAAAATCAGCTGGTCCCAAGTGACATTATCTGCCAATTATCACGGTGTTATAGCATGACAGATACGCCACCTCTGAAAACGAGGTTAGTCGTATACGATCACTGATTTATCCAATAAAATGGCCACGATGAAGCAGAAAGCTAAGGTAGGTGCATTATGTTCTACTACTGCGTATCAATAAAAGCATGAAAGATTTATGTAAGCGTCGCATTCGGTGATGCATTCAGTAATGTTTATTTTGAACGTAGTCTTTGCAAATCGACGCCCATGGATAACATGAAATAAGCGAAAAACTGTCGAGTTTGAAATTCAAAACTTCATAAAATTTAGTAATTTGTTTCTTTTCTTCGTTAGGACATGCTCTACATTGCGCAACAACCTTGGTGTATATAAATGTAACCTACATACGATCATACAAAGCCAATTAAGCATTGTAAACCACTTAATATGTTCTACTCAAGCCATAATAATGTATTTTGAATTTGCGGATACGCCAAAAATTGATAGACAGTTACGCGAACCTCGTTCATATATGTAAAACCGAATCATTTCATATCGCTTGTGATCCAAAATTGAAATGTTTTTCAACCGGATTTGAGTTTTGTAAGCTATAATAGATGAAATCGTATTATTACCACCTTGCAGGGCCTGTTCTAGGGGTTTTATTACTAGTTGAGAAGGCATTTAAATTGCTATATTGACGTGAGCAATATTGTGCCGGGCGTTAATGACTTTAGTCGGGCAATAATGATATTATTCGCCCGGCTATGTTTCATGGGAAAAGTGATATCGTTCAGTGCGTAAGATTTTCTATTTCAAATTTGCTATTTCAGCCCTGGGCATTAACGGTGGTCCAATATTTCATATTGCCCGCAGAAATGACGTTATTGTACTATTATGAAGATGGTGACATAAACAGCTGAATATGATTTGTAATAATGGTAATATATGTCTAATGTCACTTATGACATCATCAATTAATTTGGAGTTGTTTTCTTCCGTCGCATGTTCGTTGTTACTAATTTCTTCCTTTGCCTCTTCATTACAATCATTTTCACTTTCATTGGCTTTCGCTATTTTTTCCTTGCCCTATAGAGGCTCAAGCAAGAGCGTCTCTTGCGAGTCCTGAAAACAAATATAGGCAGTTCACACATAGAGAGCTATCCATCTAGGGACCTTGACTTGACAGGAACTTGCATGTAACCGTCCGCTAACATCTAATGTAAAACTAATACAATGCGTTGCTGTCCATAAAAAAGCATGCAATACATACGTATCTGTCTAACGACCTTGCGATTGAAACCTTATTATCTACAATATTTACCACATTTCTGTTCTGCATTTGTCATTTTATGGCTTGTTTATGCACAGTTTACGTACAGTTACTATTTTGAGTGGCTCTGAGGCACATATACTGAGAAAACACGAAAAAGGACTAAAAATTATGAACTTCGAAATCTCAGCTGGGTAGGTTTACAGCTTATATTCTGCTTCTTGAAGACCACACGACAGATTTAACTCAATCTTTAAAACCATTCACATATGCATCACCGAATGGAACTAGTTGAAAAGGAAAGCTTATCTGTGAATCTTGCCTACAGGCGAAAAAGAGGACATGCTGTCTTTCCCGTCCGCCATTTTTTGTTATCGTTACCGCAAAATTTGGCCAATTGCCTTGTCGTATCTGTCATGCTATAACACCGTGATTATGGTTTTGACTTTATTCTATTGCAGACTCTTCTCAAGTCTCTGACAAACGTTCAATGATAAATAAAATATCATCTTAGGCCAAGGCATTAACATGCAAATTGTCACCACCTACCATTTGTTACAGATGCCGAATGCCACTTCTGGTGGTGAAATAAAAAATACACAATTTCTACAGTGATTACTACAGTTTTAACTACATTTACCTTGAAAGGTATTTTTGTCTTGCACTGAGGTTGCCGAACAATAATCGCCAGTGAGAAGACCAGAATGAGGGCAAATACTGTGACCAGCACAATTGCCCAAACAGTCATGGAAGAAACTTCATGCTCAGCAAATATTAAGACTGCACTTAAAGATGGCGCTACTAAACCTGGAATATAGCAATTTTGAGATATCATTTTGTTTGAAGTAATTGATCATTCTTAGGAGAGAACTGGAGCAGAAAATCCTTTAAACAAATATCATTTCATAAAACATAAAGATATACTATTAACTCTAAATATAGAAAAATGTATAATATTTATAACAATGCGAGAGTTGTCTAGTGTCATTTATAGACTTACTTATAACAACTACACATATTTTGACGAGATGTGCCGTTTGTTCAGTGGGTGCCTTCTCTGGTGGATTAAAACATTTGGTAAGAGGGGAACAACAGGAAGGGTCTGCAGCAGGAACATATTCATCCCCATAATCCGATACAATGTTTTGTACACCATTGTGATCCTCTTCATGTGTTACATCGTCAAATTTCTGGTTCGGATCTGGTGGCTCGTATCTACAAAATTAACATATGTTACAAATACATGTATATATGTGGCTCAATGAGTTTTCAGCGGAATATTTTTTTTAAATGTATAGACACTCAGATTAGATAAATATAAAATAGAATCTAATTTATCATGGGGACTTACAAAAGCATACATGTACTTCCTAATTCATAAATACTTATAACTTACAAGATTTATTGCCAATTTTATACCATCTTTAAGATACAATCACCAGATTTATTCATTAATGATAGAAACCAAACAAAAATAAAACTATAAAACACACATAAAATACATGCACTTAAAGAAATAAATTCACATTTGTAAGCTTTACTTGTACTAATCTTGTACTTTACAATAAAAATGAATATTATTTTCTAGTAAAGCTCACAATAATGCACCAGCTGCATGCCAAGTGAAAGAAAATCACAAATAGTGACAAACAGCTAGTATGCCTGAACAGTGAATTGGTTTCACTTAGAATGAAATTGTATTCACAGAGGGATACATAGTAATTTTGCACTTTATTGTTATAAATCATCTCCAAATCACCTCTATGTAAGTTGTAATAATGTTAGTACATGCGTTGCATAGTAGTTTAACAAACAAAAGCTCAGCACTAAACACACTAAATATAAAATGCCTTAAGTATACTTTATTAGTTAAAAATAAAACAACAATAGCCCTGTTTACACTATATAACACATTCCAAGATGTTTTCGCCAAGAGCTCTTACAAAAATTCAGGCGAGTTTACATTAGACATCTTACAAAATATTTTTGAATTTACACTTTTTTCCCGACTCATCCTGGGAAACTGTGTATTTACGTTACAATCTAAAGACATCTCAACTCCAAAACGTTTTACGTAAGAGCTCTTAGAGTATAGTGTAAATTAATCCAGCTTATATTAACCTTACAGGATTAGTTTTATAAAACAGATAGAAATCTGAGATTAATATCATAGGTATTTTTCCATTTAAGTAACCCTTTTACCTTGAATGAAAGTACCAGTTGTAAGAAAAGACATGTGACAATGTTGAGCAATGTATTCACATCAAGAAGACTAACTCAGGATACTGTGATCCGATTCATGATTTCACGATGCCTTTCAACTTATGCAGGATTCTGTTCTAAGCTCAAATTTTCTTTTATTTAATAAACGTAATACTAGATTTAATTATGAGGCTTATGGTATTATGAAGTTATTAGTTATTTTGCAGAATAGCATTAAGTAAGTAATAAATAATAAGTAAAAAGCTAGCTAATCAGAAAAAATAGCACCACTCGGTGGGTTCATATGGTGTTTCTTTAAACTCATTTTTAAAAAAATTCATAGAGTAACCATGAAGAAAGCACTAACATGCAAAATGTCACCACCTGCTATTTGTTACAGACAAACACCAGACACTTACCACCAAGAGCTGAATGGTGAACACCAACTGCAGACCACCACAACAACAAAAATGGAGACGATAACAATATGTCGGCAATTGGGGTGGTGACATAAAAACTGTAAAACCTAAGAAACTGAAACTGACACAGATACTTTCAAACATCAATTGCAACATATAAAATCTGATCATGGAACATTATGAATGAGACATGATTTGTGATATTTTGACAAAATAGCTGATTTCCCCAAATTAAAGCTATGCAAGTGGGAGCCTGGATTAATGGTGTTCTATCAGTATGAACCCACATAAAATGGATGTAAGCCTCAGTTCAGGAATAGCCAGTTTTTATTTGACCAAAAATTGTTGAAAAATTGACAGATGCAGACAGACAGACAGATGGACAGACAGACTGATGGACTGACTCCATAGGCTCAACATATGAGACAAAAAGAAAGACAAAGAAGGATTTTGTAACTCTAGTCTAATTCACATAGGATTATAAGTAGAATTTAGTACCTGATTAGAAATTAAGCATTAAGACCAGGACAAAGAACTCCCATAGACTTCACTAAGGTTCATTGAACGACCGAGAAAGACTTTCTTACTCACCCAAGTTGGATATATCTAAATAGTGACTGTATCGTTTAATGTATATGAACGATAAATGCTCAAATACACACATCCTTGTAAAATATATAGTTTAAATGAATACATGAATAAGGTCCTGATTTAATATCGAAGACAAAAAATGAATGGTAACTGAAAGTGCATGTCATAACCAAGAAAACAAAAGTATAATACTATATTAATAATAGGCATACATGTTGAAGTTCACAACAAACTTTTTCAGACTTGAACAATCAGATCCAAAGTTGACTCATAAGCCCATACTGGAATACAGTAGAACCTGTATATCTGAACACCTGGCTAATCCGAACACCTTCCAATTTGAACACTTTTTTTCAGTCCCATTTTTTCCTCCCACTGACTCCCATGTTAAAAAACCTTGAAATCTGAACACCTCCTAATCTGAACAGTGGACAACCAGATTTGAAAAAGTGACCTGTCTAATCTGAACATTTTTATCAGAAATCAAATGTCTGGACATTTCAATTTAAAGCCACAAATTGAGTCAATGCTATAGTTGTTATTTATCTTTACATATACATGTACGTAAGCCATAATTAAAAACAAGCTTGAATTTCTCCCTGATTAATATAATAAGCCAAAATCCAGCCCTGATTAATGCAAGTTTGAATTCAGGCCTTGTTATAGGTAGATTGACTAAGCATCATTAGTTTCCATGCTTGTACACTATATGTGAACTATCACACATGACAAAGACATAAAAGGCTTGACCCATTGAATTCCAATGCTGTTGTAAGGTGTTACCTGTATCATTTTTATCAATCATCATGTAAATATAATTACATATTATTCAGAGAATTTTCTGATTCTTAAACAAAACACAGTAACAAAAAAAGTAAACAAAAACGATGAATTCCTAAATTAGTATGTTAATCTGTTACTCGTTGGTCACAGTGAACGCACTGAATACCGAATGTGCGAAGATGTTGCTCATAAGGTTTTGATTAAAGTGCTGTGACACCAAGGTGTTCAAAACAATAAAATAGTGTTTATTACGATTTAAAATCAGAAGCAGGTGTCATCTCTGTCTGATCCAGTGGATTAACTGCACATCTGAAGACAAGAGAGTTAATCAAAACATCAGATAGATCTGCAAGTATCTTAAATGCGAATCAGAGTTATAGGGGTGAAAATATTGCAAGCAACATGGACAAATGACCTACCCAATTTATGCTTTACCATCTCAAATATGTTATCTTACATGGCAAAGTTGTTTTAGACTCAATGTGAAAAAATATTGTAAGAGCCAAAAATATTGTAAAGGTTGTCATGGTTATTTGCTAAATCTGATTCAGGCTTTAAGAAAACAACTATTTGTACATTTCAGATGTAATCAATTATAAGTATTATTACACATTTCCATTTCCATTTTGTGTAATGCGATCAGATCTTTTTTAAACAGGATCACCATTGTTATTATATCCTGGAGCGTAATTGAATGAGAAAGAATCCAGAAAGTCATATTTTGTGAAATATAAACCCACCATTGTTTGTGATCAACAGTAGATAATTATAAGTGGTGCCATATAATAGCTTTGGAGCCATGTTATTGATGCAATAAGATGCAATAAGGGCCTCAAACAAACATGCTGACATCAGTCGTTTTCATTGTAGCACTAATAATTACACTGCAAACATGTCATGTAATACAATAATAATCACAGACAAGACATTGGGATATAACTTTCTGTATGTCAGCTGTTAGAAACACATTATATTTACTGAACTTTAGTGAAGACCATCTGAAAATTACCATCTGAAAAGTGACATGTAAATAATGTGCTCATCCTATATTCCCATTATATCCCAACAGTTTTAATAAAAAGGCATATCGTGCAACAGGAATATTAAATGATTGTTGGTTGGTTTGGTCAATAAAAGTTATAGTCATAAGTCTAGTAATCACATACCGGTACATGTATTTTGGTACACTCATGAAATAAAACTCTTAGCATTGGGGAATTTTTTACCAAAGGTTAGTTCTCAAAATTTTTTCATATGGCTCGTTTTTCAGAAATTTTCATTTCTTTTCATTTCGCTTTTCTTCCCCGCAAAATTTTCAATAGCATGTGATAAAATTCCTGAAGAAAGTATTGAAACAGGAAACACTAGAAAATAACAAAACTACACCGTTGAAATCTATGTAATAAATAGACCCAACGTCGACATCAAATCAAAGCAATTACAGATAAGGACAACACAATACCCATCGGTGTAATTTAGTCTGTTTACTGTGTCCCTAAAAATCAATTGTGTCTGACTCTCAAATCAGAGATAGAGCTTTTTTATTATAGATTGAACAATGAAATATAGAGTTAGCAAGACCAAGTCAATATTTAATGTTGTCCCAGCACATATAAAAATACATTTCAGACCCTTTCCCCGAAAAAAATGTAATTGGACGTAATTAAGTTTTATTGATTTTTTCAAATTAAGTTACTTCTATCTAAAACAGATCCTAGCTTACAAATTGTAATAGACCTTTGCCCCCTCTATCCTCAAACTTAATTCAATGCGTTTTTGGGAACTGTAAATGGTTATACATTTTATTTTCATATGTATTTCTATGTATCCTTTGCAATGGTTTGACTTAGTCTTACTGTAAAAGTTGTTTACCCTCTTTTAAGTTTAAGAGAAACCTCTGAACTCACCACACTAACAAGAGCTAGAAACTGCCAGAACATGTTTTTCTGCTTGTGCTGGTGGTGGTGCCATCTTTTTTGTTACTTTGAAATTACTATACTTGTATGTGGCAATCCGGCCATCTTTATTTCATTATCACTTATACAGTATTGCAATTTAAAAAATCAAATGAAAATTTGTATGGCAAGCCAATGCACCTGAACATGAATCTCAATATATTTTTTCAGTTAATTGTAGTTATCATGTGAATATAAATTATTTTGTTTATATGCGTGGGAAGCTGTAATCAGTCAATATTTGACTTAATAATTTTCACTCATTATGAAAAAAAATCAATCCAAAAAATTACAAATTATAATAGAAACAACGAGACAAATATCTTATACTAGACTTTACAAAGCAAAGCAAAAACCACCTAAAACTAAATACATCTGAACACTAAATATAGCACTAACAAATCTGATCCCTTTTCTCTATGTAGGGGGAAATATTCATTCCCACCATCTATGATCTCCTTTAGAATCTGTGGTTCATATCTAAAAATGAAAAATTGAATTAATAACATGTTTGAATTGTTTTTTTCAAGGTTTATTAGTGATCTGGCTCACCCTAAAAACCTAATTTGAGCCAGGAATTGCCAGCCAAAATATTTGAAGCTCTTGACTCTTACTTTTTTCACTTCAGGGAACTCAAGATCTAGATCAAGTTTTAATTTTGGAACAGATCCCTCATACTGTACATATTTAACACTACCTGTAAATGCATCCAATAAACCCAGATCCCTTTATAAAAACCAAATGTATGCTCTTTTCAACAACATACGATTCAATCGTATATATCAAAAATATCCATATCTTAGGACATACTCAACATTTAAAATAGAATTCAAGAAAGAACCATTTTAATGACATCAAATTAAGAAATATATTATGCAAAATAATACTTGGCAATCATAAATTAGAAAAACAAAATGTTGATGTTAAAAACGAACAAAAAAATACAATTAGAGGATAGACTTAAGTTTTAAATACAACCTGACCTAAGTAGAAGATGAATTGCAAACCCTGCCTATTCAATCCAAAGAGCAATATTTTTCAAAATACTAGCTAACCATTTAGTAATATACTACCTGAGATTGCAATAAAGGAAATCATGATTAGTAAAATTCAAATATTAAAACCTGTGCCAAATACTATTTTAGTACATCTTCGCACGCTCAGTCTTCACTGCATTCAGTTTTGACCGACGGGAGCCGAGTGAACGAAGATGATTTTAGTATGGAATGTGAGAACAATATTAGAACATTTATTTCATGCACAATCTATATACCAGAATATGAATTGTATAGTATATGTATGAAAACACTGTATGTTGGTTTCCCAAGTATGTTTCAGTCCAGATGTAATTAAATACTGTTAATTTTTGATCTTTCTATATAAATAATGTCTTAATATAGTTATTTTTATACTTTTGTTTCTATGTCTTGCGTCTATGTTTGTAAATATATACTATACAAATCACATGTATAAACCTGTATAGTGGCCCATATTACAGTGAGCCTGTCATACTTAATGGTCTGTAAAAGATATATAAGACATTTAGGCAGCTACTATGAATTTCATAAAACATGAATCTAAAAGTTAGCATAATATTCATGAGTTATTCTGGTATGCTATAAAGTAAAACCTCTCGAATCTGAACACTCTTTTCAAATTAGGACACATTTATAAAATGAAAATTTTTAAATTATATCTAATTTATGAAGAGTTGCAATGACTCGTTCAGTTGAGAGATTCTCTCTTTAGACAGGCAGACTTATAGACAGAAGGTTTTACAATATCCTTACCAAAACTACTCATGGGGGTAAATCAACTGTTGACTAGAGAACGGCAATCAAACAAAATTTTATACATCAAGGGGTCAAGGATCACTGGCATAAGTAATGCAGTTCATTATAAATACATGTAATTTAATTGATTTACATGAACAGTAATACATTTCAATGTGGCCATTTATACCCTTCTCATTAGAGCCATATAAACATTTTAACAACAATACATTGTAATTACCTGAGAATGAGCACACATATTGCAACTAGTGTGTAGGCAAGTAGGGTCCCTATGGACATCATGTCCACCAATTCCTTCAGGTCAAACAACATGGCCATTGTACCTGGATAGCAAGAGAAATATAATGAAGTGAAATGCACTCAAGGAAGGCCATCTGTATTGCACTGATGGTTAGTCAATGTGATAAGGAAATAAGCCTGTTAAAGTACATTCATAAGGCAGCTATTTATCAAAGTGTGGTCCACACTTCAAACCTATTTAACACCCTAGTCACTTAAAAATTGTATTGCATGCAAGCAGTAGCAGTATTACAACCTCTGCTCATTCTAACCATATAACACACAGATGTATGAGAAACAATAAGGTGATATGACATGGTCCAGTGATTAAAAGGTGAAATCTATATTCTATATATTCTATTTCATACATGTTTTATTTTGTAAGTATCTTTGATGGAAATCTATTTGTAAAACAGAATTCAAAATGTTGCCATCTGGTTTAATTTCTTTATGTCTGTATTAAAGTACATGAATTTGTCTCCTTGATGCAAAAAAATAAATAACTTACATATTCTACTATGTGATAAGTAATATGTAAAACAAAATGAGGTAAGAATGCTAATGCAAACAAATATGTCATTTCAAATGCCAGTAGGTGTTTTTTGGTTTGTTTATTTATTATCATTTGGAATCATTACATGTAATTAACATGTACCATAATGTGCCATAAATCACTGAACCTTGTTCCTTATCCCTTAAATACATATAATAAAGTGAATCCTGGTCTTTTTCCCTTAAATAAACATAATAAAGTGAAAGCATACCAGCAAATAGGCCAGAAATCAATGTTGCTATTAGTGGAGTTTTGAATCGTTCGTTCACTCTTGCGAGGAAGCGGAATAGGAGGCCATCACTGGCCATAGCATAAATAACTCTGGGGAGAGGGAACATAGCACCAAGTAAACTGAAATAAATGAAAAACAATGCATGAACAATTAATTATATGCAGAGTAGATGAAAGAATCATGGCAGTAATTAACAACATTTTACAGAAATCTAAAAAATTGAATAAAGGAACATAAATATCAGGGGCCTGAATAGTCAAGATCTTTATGTTGTCATTAAAAAAAGTCCAAACTACACTTATTTAATACAATATCATACCCCATTACAATTTTCATTAAAAAGTTCTCCAAGATCTACTGACCAGGTTTGTGTACCCTGTTCTGTGTATACTAGTTTAGAGGTAAGATTTGAAATGCAGATGAGTGTTACCTTGTAGATAGACCACAGACTGCTCCAACACTCACTACATACTTGGCAAAACCCCAACCCACACGCTTAAATACCTAAAAAGAAAGTTATACATCTACAGAGTTGAAAGTGCATAAAAAATAACAATGGTTTTCCATATGGGTGGCAACCTTACAGAAAGGCATCTAGTATCTCATGAATTTACAGGCAGTCCAAGGATGGAAAATAAAGTGAAACACAATATTGAAATTGTAATAGAAACGAAGTGTTCTAACGATAATGAAACCTCATTTCACTGATATAATTATTTTATAACTATATCAGTGAAACCTATGAAAATGTGAATCCCTTCCTTGTCCTTCACATTACTTTTTCATTATTATTACTTTCATGACCAGTAGTGCAGTAATCCATGTTAAATGAAATAGAACTGATAAATGCTACAAACCTCAGGCAGGGGTGCATTTGGGTCCAATATGTAATAAGGTACCATTAAAGTAAGCACTGCGCTTACTCCAAAATAAGCCAAGAAACAGGCAAGCAGAGAAATGACAATACTAATTGGAATGGCCTTCTGGGGATTCCTTACTTCTTCACCTACAAGAAGCAATAGTATAAGGTGACTAGAATTGATTCAACAAGACACAAAGAAATAATTATCATACTCAGGGCTTGCATTAACGGCGTCCCTTACATGTAAGTGACGCAAAAAAAAATTGTAGGACGGAAAAATAAAAAATATTTCCGTTTTTGGGACGGAAAAAAAATTGAGTCAAAACTTTGAACATTTTTTGAAAATCTCAATAGTTGATCATGTTTGACTTCTTTGAGGTGTATATAAAGATCAAAATATGTGAGATTTACAACTTAATTTTGAGTAAAAAAGAAAAAGAATGCAGAAAAACGAACTATTGTAATGGGCGATAATAGGTTATCAGTTGGGTGCACCCCAGTTGTCCGAAACCCAGTTGTCCGAAACCCAGTTGTCCGAAACCCAGTTGTCCGAAGCCCAGTTTTCCGAAACCCAGTTCTCCGAAACCCAGTTGTCCGAAAAATTTAGTCATAATTTACCAGATTAAGGGGGACGCACCCCAAGCCAGTTTCATGTCATGTATTTGGCAAAATTAATGGCATGGACGCATTCTGATGTATAGATCTCTCTCTCACTTTGAATTGCATCCATTACACGGCGTTACCAGAATGACAGGAACGGGGGATTTATTTTACATTGTGATTCTAAAAAAGGTCATCAAAACACAATATATATTACGAAACAGATGATCTTATCTTATTCAATATATTTTATATAGGCAAAATAAAATGGAACATTTTGAAACCGATAAAATAAGTTATAACGCATAAAACTTTAAGAATAAACAGTACACATATTACGTTGTCAAAATGTTTCGTCGCATTTAATTTCTTAGTCTCTGTCTCTTATCAAATCGTAAAATGTAAAAGAACAAAACATTCTAAACGTAATCACTTGGGATTAACTGGAAGCGAAGACAGGCTGTCCTCGTATCAAATTGGATGTTCTCCCATTCGCAAGAAGTTTCATTTTCGCCATGTACTCACTTCATCTTTTTGAATTTAATCTCTATTTCTCGAACAGAGTACCTAAATGAAGAATAATTTTTGGTTTCAAAATATGTACACGTCAACTTTACTAAATAAATGCCCACTGGCTTGGGAAAACTATTTCCCTTTTATGAACGCCCATCACCCATTGGAAAAATGTTATTCCCTCTCAAAAAAATTTGGACGAAATCTTAACAATGGGTGGTACTGAACAACCAAAATCTTCTTTTTAGATATTTTTCAGGGTAGAAATATTATCAATTGATATTGGAAAACATAATTAACCATATTTTATTGAGGAAAGGGAATGAAAAAAATTATCAAATGAATATTATATAATTGTCACGGACGTCCATACGTTATTCTAATGAGATAGATATTCCTTTCGCCAGAATATTCTCTTCGACTGTGATAATTGTCTAAAATGTTGGCGGCAGTCTTGAATTTTCACCAAGAAGGAGTGCGATTCGTGCTGGACAATGCGGTTCAAAATTTGTAGAATGTCCATATAAGTCTATGTGCCGAGAATTTAGTTAGAATATATAGCTATATATGATCGTGAACTTTCGGACCCATTATTGACCGGGCTAACCGATGTCAACGTGATCCCAATGTTATGCTGTCCTGATTCGCGAGGTTGCGACAAGATTCGTTACTAAGAAATTTAATTTTTTAATTTTCGGAGAACTGGGTTTCGGAGAATTGGGTTTCGGATAACTGGGTTTCGGACAACTGGGTTTCGGACAACTGGGGACAACTGGGTTTCGGAGAACTGGGTTTCGGACAACTGGGTTTCGGACAACTGGGTTTCGGACAACTGGGTTGACCCCTTATCAGTTTGCATGTGACATATTTTTCTCACTGAAAAGCTGATATGAAACCTTCAAAATGAGTTCAATTGTACAAATGATGCATACTTACCTAGGTGAAGTAGTCTATTTGTGATTATATAACGTCAAAATGGTCTAATTTATGATATAAATCAGAGGATTCTGATCATGTAGAAAATGTAGTGATACACTAAATTACTGAGCGTCAGACAAATTCATACTAAAAAATGTTCTTATTTTTTCAAGCAGTTGTTCAGTGCAAACAGCAAGTATAAAGATAATCACAGTATAATAGTACTTACTATAACAGGCTGGAGGTTACATAACATAAGTGAATTGAATATAAAGAACATGTTTAAATCACAGGGCACGAATGGCAACATTTTGAAAACGCATAAGGCATGTAAGATCAAGTCATGCACATTCCAAAATAGCCCATTATAGCTAATTTAGCTAATTTAGCTTATATATTGGAGGACACACTTTTTTCGGTCGGGACTCACTTTTTAAAAAAATTTCCTTCATTGGGACTCACATTTGTCAGAGTCTAATGCAAGCGCTGCATACTTCACAAAAGCAATACATATTACTAATCCAACTCAACTTATCTACATGTACAGGTAGATCATTGTTATTGCATGGGCGTTATGTTTCTATAATAATATCATCTTTTAAAATCTATTATATGAGTAAATCAGTTTATAATATTAATCCCAGCTTGGAAGATTTTCAGTTCTCATTGTTCTTAGTTCTCATATAAACAACTTTTCAAATAATATTACCAGGTAATGCCAGGTCATGGACTTATAGAAAGTCCATGGTCAGATGTACAAATTATCTTACAAAATTACAGACATGATAATAGATCTCGTACTTGAGAATCTTGCAATGAAATTAAATGTTTCAGCGCTCTAACACCAAAATACACGAGAGCTCTCAGTTGCCAATGCAACATTAAAAAGTGAAACAAAAATGAAACTAGAAAGTGTATTCCTTGTAATCCATATGAATCATAAGTTTCTAAATATTTGAAAAAATATATGACAGAAGTAAATTTTGAAAAATATAACTTAACTTAAATATAACATTTTCTGTTTGAAAGATGGCATTTCTAGTTTCTGATCAAGGAAAGTGAAATATAAAGCTACCATATAATCAAACTGCATTTCTGCTCATCTGAAAGATGGCAACCATTGATGGAGTGTCTCTATTAGGGTTATTATAGTATGAGAGAATATCCTGTCCTTTAGTGAACACCTTAATTGTCCTCTGAGTCAATAGACTTCCAGGTATCTTAACTTATTATGTATGTTAAACAGCCTCCTAGTGACACTTCAGTGGCAAAAAAGGTTGATTATGAATACTAAACTGCTCATACCTGTTGTTGCAATGGCATCAAAGCCCACAAATGCATAGAAACAAGTAGCTGCCCCTGACATCATACCAGAAAAGCCAAATGGAAAAAAGCCCCCATCTCCTGTGGGATATTTTGGATCGGTACCATTAGGAATCTGGAAGTAAACAAAATGTTTTCAGTGGGGATAACCTGGTCTCACATATCTAAGTCATTCTCTACAGTGGAAGACCAATGTTTTAACTAATATATGGCTCATTCACCACACTTCCTTTCTCATTGTTCTGGTGATTACTTGATGTCCAAGGCATTAGATTAAGGATTATTGCTATGTTCTGATGATTTTTTTTATGATTTTTTATTAAGTTATTCATTTGTACAAAGAATACAATACAATAATACAGTGTAAGTGGCTGTGCTTTTAGCATTATTAGCCACTATTAGCTGATGATATGTTACCATGGTGGTACACAACAAAATTCAATGATAAGGGTTGATGTGAAAAATCAGTCAAACCCAAACCCCTTTCATTCAGAAAAGGAGGAAATGCATGCCAGACAAATGAACCTGAAATTTTAAAATATGTCTGATCCCTATTCATTTTAATCAGACCAAACAATTAATTACAAAAAAGTAACTTCTCATAATCGCACAGTATGATCATGAATCTGTTATGGAATAAGTCTTGTTTGATATCTTACAAGATGGAGACACGTGCCAAATATTTAGTAATTTAATAATTCAACTCAAACCAAAGGTATTGGTAATAGGTGACATCTATAAAATGCATACACATGTTGTACAATATTTTTTTTTGTTATTGTGTTTTATTTCAGTTTATAATAAAATCATATACATCAAATAAGATGGAAGACCCCCTAATGGGAGTATTATCCATATTACAACGTAAAATAATGAAAAAAAAATTACAAAATGTATACACACCACTGAACCCAATCTCCACCTCAGTCCCCCCCCCACAACCACATGTACGATGCCTTTAGAAAAAGAACAGTTGATCGAGTGCCAGAAATGTGTCTCAGGATAAACTGAATAGTATGGGTCAGTTTAAGGTCATGTTTATTGATATATGTTAATTTTGTGGTCATCTTCAACACTGAATGTTTAGTTATGCATTTAATCATAACTTTTGCTTTGATATGATAATGTTGAAGGAAAGATGCACTATTGAATTTACTGATTTGTTATTGTTATTTCCTTGTTCTTCCATTTAAACCAATGGTTTATGATTTATTAAATATTACTTCAGTTTTGTCTTAAAGTGTGATACAGAATTGATTCGAAGTAAATCTCCAGGTACATCATTCCATATATCAGTGCCTTGTTTACATATCGAGAATTTTCCAATATCAGTTCTATACTTTGCTGGTCGAAGTTTATATTCTTGTCTTGTGGAATGATCATGAATTTCATTACTAGGAGTAAAATAATATTTGAATTGCCTCTTACAGGGTTTGTTTACACCTTTAATGCATTTAAAAACATAAACTGCAATATTCATGTACACTATTTGAAATACATTCAGGATATTGGCTCTTTTGAAATGTGGGAGTGTGTGATCTCTAGGTTGGCAGTTTATATCGAAAATTCGAATAAATTGTTTCTGTAGTCTGTGTAACTTGGTCAAATAAGATGGAGGGACAGTCCCCCAAATTATGCAGTTATAGTTCAAGTATGAATAAATAAGTGAATAATATATTGTTTTCAAAGCTTTACCATCTAAATTGAATTTTACCCTATGAAGTACACCTAATGTTTTTGAAATTTTTGTTTCAATGTGTTAATATTAGGTTTCCACGATAATGTTTCATCGATAAGTACGCCAAGAAATTTTCCAACTATAGTTCTATCTAAAAGTGAGTTATTCATGTAGATTTTTATTTTTTCATGTTCAATTACTTTTTTTGGAGACCTGAATAAGATATAATTTGTTTTTGTTGGATTTAATGCGAGTTTGTTGCACTTAAACCATTCATTAATTATAGAAAGTTCCTCATTTACTGTGGTATTGAGGTCATCAAGATTGTTACCAGAAAATAGTATATTTGTATCGTCTGCATATAGAAACATTTCTGCAGCCTCTGAAGATCTGTAAAGGTCATTTATATAAATAATAAACAAAAGAGGCCCTAGAATTGTTCCTTGTGGAACACCACATGATAATTCAACAATATCAGATGTTTCCCCTTCAAATTGTACCACCTGGGATATTTTTGAAAGATAACTTTGAAACCAATTGGAGGCAGTTCCCCGAATACCATAATAATTTAATTTTTGCATCAATATATTGTGATTTAATTAATCAAAAGCTTTAGACAGGTCACACATTAATCCTATGGAATATTTGTGATCTTCTAAGGCAAGGCGTACTGATTCAACAAATTTTAAAACAGCCATGAATGTTGAGTGATCTTTCTTAAAACCATACTGATGTTCGTATAAGATGTTTTGTTTCTCTAAGAAATCAAGCAACCTGTGAGACATACATTTTTCATAAATTTTAGAGAATACAGACAGAAGAGATACAGGTCGGTAATGTGTAAATATGTCATTGCGATCTTTTTTATGAATAGGAATGACTTTTGCAAATTTTAAATCATCTGGAAATATACCCTGCATAAATGAGAGATTGATAATATAAGCAAGTGGTGAGCTTATCAGATGACTGTTACAATATATAGAGCTTCATGTACAGGGTGACCACAAAAAAAGTGTGTAGATAGGGTGTTAAATTCAGGAAATATTAATGTACTTACATAGCATTACAACAAAGACTTAGAGCTTTAGAGATATTATGTTTTCTGTGGAGGCATGCTCTGACGATGAACCACCCAAAAAGGGATAGCTATGAAATATTAATGACTATGTATGAAAGCAATAATGGCTCAAATAATGGCTAAGATATAAATCCTGAATTCAGAAAATTGCATCTTTAACATTTTTGGTTAATTTCACATGAGAGCATATCTGGACGGATAATGTGATTACTCTTAACCTAACTCTTAATTCCATCATATATGACAAAGTTGTTCCAAAATTAGACAATGATATTTTTGTGGTCACCCTGGATATATACATGTATTCAATTCATCTCAATAAAATGGAACTAAGCAATTAAAAGATAACATGCTGGTATAAGGTTCATAAAAAGTAATATTATTAAATAATTCACATGTATTTTAGAAAGAGGATTGGGCAGATAAAATGGCTTGGAAGGACATTATCTTTCAAAATAATGTTATAAATAATTTACCAAGATACTTCTCAAGTTCAACCCTGCCATCCACCCAACCATGATGCTAAATGATATAAAAAGAATTAAAAATTGATTGAACTCATAGTGATAATGGCATGGCATATATAAGTATTAAGTAATATGAACCTCATTGCAAAATAAATAGTTAATGCCTTAATGTATCGCATTATCATCATAAATATATTGAGCTTTATTGCTCAATAGCATTACTTTGATCATTAAGTATTATGTTTCTATAAATGAAAGTGAAACAGTAACACCTATTAAAGCAATTGGAATCGCTGATGATATTGCTGATACCATAACTACAATAATGCATAAAAGAAGACAAGCATACGCTTTGAATAATATGAAACAATACACCTAAACTAATTGAACTAATAACAATGTGACAGTATCGTATATATAAGGGGAATGAATCATACCGTCACAGGAAACAACGAACAGATAACTTCCTAGAATTAACATCAAGTATTTCAATGAGCTGCATACAAATATGGAAAATACATTGAAAAGAAGAAAAATTGTTCCAGCAACGGCAAAGGAATCTATGGTAAAGTTTATGGAAACAACATCTATTAGGGGCTTGCCGAGAATAGTGAGAACTCAAAATAAATTATGGCGTGTGATGTATGCAATAACTTTTCTTGCGGCATTAGGTGCAAACTTATATTTTGTATATACCACACTCGAAATATATTTTGAATATAATACACACACAAAGGCATCAATTTTAAGGATCAATGAAGTGGATTACTTTCCAGATATCACTCTGTGCAATATTCGTAACCAAGCAAATTCACGATTTTTTACCAATGACGGGAATTTAACGATATATGCCCAGAGAATCAGAAAATACATGACATCTGCTCTATATAAATTACATGATTTATTTGATGCAGATATAACAAGTGACTTGACAACAATAGGGATGTATGATTTGGAAAAATTATTTATCACAACAATAAACAAAGTAGGAGCGAATCAAAAAAACTTGACAAGATCTGAACAGAAAGTCTTGGAATCTCTCACAGATTTTAGAAGTTACTTTACAATGTTTAATTCAAGTGAGAGAGAAGATATGGGTCACCAGAAGCATGACATCATAAAACAATGCCGTGTGCTTAAATGGTTAGAAACAGATGAAGAAGACTGTAACGTGGAATCAATCATACTTTACCAAGACATGAAGTACATCAACTGTTATACAGTTCAACTTCAGAAACAGGTAACAAACAAGACACGTGGGATCTCAACTGTTCTCTATATGACACCACATAACTTTGCAGTATTGGAAAGTATTCCAGAGAAAATCCCACAAGACAGTGGGATAGTGGTCTTTATACACCAACATAACACCATGCCTTTTGGTGCCCCGAGCTTCACAGCGGCTCCTGGATTTAAGACCATGGTTAACATTGACGTCACAAACACTATCACTCTACCAGCTCCCTTTACAAACTGTGTTCAAGAAAGAAAATTAAATTTCACTAAATATAATGGTGATGAATTTGTGTATGACAAAGAGCCCTGTGTGGCCCAGTGTGTACAAGAGCAGGCCCTAAAACAATGTAAGTGCCTTAATGCAGATTTTCCTCCATTACCCAATGCATCATACTGCACAGACCTTACATTAGACAGCAAATTGTATGAAGCTAATATTGCTTGCATGCATACAGCACTGCCTACTGCCGAAACAAAGCCTTGTCTAAAACAGTGCCCAAGTAAGTGTAACCAGTATATATATAATTACAAACTGAGCCAATCAACATGGCCACAAGAAATGAGTCATCTTGGAATATATAAAACCTACATACGAGGCACACAATATGAAAGTGAATTCACAGACTATGAAGCACTTCTTAAAGAAAATGCCCCAAACCTTACAAATAAAGAAAGGTATGACAAATTAAGAACACTATCTACAATAAAAGACACGTTTGTAAAGCTTGAAATTGGTCTCACTGACAAAGATGTAATACAGTTCAAGGATACTCCACAACTAACAAAGTTTGATATTTGGAACACTGTCGCTTCGACTTTTATTTTTTGGATTGGATTCACATTTTTTTCCATCATGGAGATCATTGAATGTGCATTTCATGTTGCGATAGGCTACATGTTTCATGGTGGCAGGACCCGTGAACATCCAGATAAAAGAAAACAGGTGGAGATGGGAGATAAAGGTGACAACAATACAAAGTACTAGTCACTCCTCTCATTGCAAGCACATCAGAAAGCCTACACTTTTTCATGGACTGAGTTGATGTAAAAGTCACAGGTACGCTGAAAGTTATTTCCAGAGTACCTGAGTATACCTGTCACCTGTCATCAGAGATGGTTTCATATAAATTGAGCTGACGCTATGGATGTAATTTTATCTGCTATGTAAATGTACAGTATTATATATAAATTAATTATTATAAAACTACTCTGCCTCGTATATTTTTTAGCATTATGCAGACAATCGATAGAGACAAAGAGAGACTTCAAAGACATACAGCCTCTTGTTCAGATATTGTAATCTAAGCTTTTGTTGTAAATAAATTAGTATATGGATTCTACACTGCACAACAAGACTACAATTCTGAGCTCGATTTATAAGCTTCTCATTATCTGAATTACTTCATTCCTACAACATAAAATGCACACACTGTGTTTCCAATGGAGGGTATACTTGTCCCATAACTGTTGTAATTGCACATAAACAGTGGATGTCTTAAAATATATGCTCAAATTCAAATTCAAAGTGTTTACAATGGTGTATTATATATTATATTTGTAGAGGTATGAGCTATCAAAATCTCTGGAATCATGGTAACATTGTGCTACTTTTAAAAAGCAGGTGTCATTACTTCCATTTTTGATATTAATGGGATTGTGGGGGAAAAATGAGTAGTCAATTTCACAAAACATTGATTGCAGCAAAAAACAGCCTTACGGTACAAAAAAACATACTAGTAATCCAAATTATAAATTATGTCAGAGACACAATGACATTTTAGCATAGTTCAGTCTAACTGAAACATTTTTTAGGCATTAACTTGCAAAATATCACCACCTGCCATTTGTTACATACACTGAATACCCACTACCGGATGCAAAATATCAAACACAAACCACCAAACACAAAAAAATTGAAGATTATAACAATATGTCACCACTTGTGATGGTGACATAAAAATGATGTTCATTCAATAAGGATACCATATCCCCATACAAGAAATTATTAGTACATACCTCATTCTTTGGAATGTTCCAGTTGTGAAAATCAGCTTTGAACATGCCACATATCACAACATATGTGACAACTAACAAGTTCACACCAGTGAATATATTGTTAAATGTTGAAGATTCTTTCACCCCTATGGCAAGTATGACTGAAACATACAATGATAAAGAACATTATGATTCAAAATTTTAAAACCCAGATCATTGTACAGTAATGGATGAACAGGAGGAAAAAGAAATGTTTTGACATATATCTGTTTGTTTTGACACTCGGGTTTCGACAGTTCACTGACAACCAATATATGATACGTACATTGATAATTGTATTGAAACTATATATGTACACAGGTGGCACTTGCAATTTTAATAAGAACTCGATATATCGTGTACAGCTCACATTACATAGCATTTATTCTAGCTACTTTAAAAACCACTAATGGAATAACTAAAATGGAAATAAAAATAATCAATCTAGCAGAACTTAATAGTGATCAGACATAGCAACAATCATTCAATATAAACATTCCATCAATTTGACAGAAATACAAAAGTATTTAGGAATGCTATTTTGTTCTGAAAGCCCATGCTGCAACTCACTATTTGTTTTTATATTCAAACCGGATATCAGTTTTGTACAGCCACTGATCAGATCATGATGCATAAGGGGTAACACTAAGTATACATGCTTACATATAATATAACTCAGCTATGCTTAGAATTGATCATATATCTAAAAAGCATTGTTAGCATTCCCATAATTCCAAATAAATAGAGGTTACTTAATGGGAGGGATGGAATATGTAACTACAACTACATACTACAAAACTACTTTACATCAGTTTCACATGTCAGGGTATGATATCAGTGTGGTGTATCCATAATACATGTGTTTTAAAAAATGTTTACATAATATTAATCATTTTCCAAATTTTTAAAAGAGTGATATACAAACTTGGATAAAAGTAAGTTAACATGAGAGCTTTTACTAGACATAATAGTTTCAAACAGTTTATCTGGATCTTTGCACTGTTTCAGATCAGATTCTAAAGTTTCAAACAAAAGCTCTCTGTGTTTTAAGTTCTTTGTACAGCTTGTGATAAAGTGAAGCTATTTCTGAAACTTATTCATTTTCAAGTATGATTTGTCATCAACCAATGATGATGATATAAAGTGATACAATTTGACTTATATAACATTTTCAACTTTTATTAATAAGTTTTAAGATAAAAAGAAAATGTAAAAATCAAGAGAAATCCCAGGGAATAGTTCTGATGAGGATCTGATTTGGATCGATTTTGACTGTTACAGGATCTGATGCAGGATTTTGGATGATGTGGGATCCCTTACGGAATTATTTAAATATCAATTTTATTCCCTGTTTATTTCCCAGGGAAAACATGTTATTATGGAATAAATACAGGTCATGTGTACAATAAGCCATTTACTTACTTGATAACAGTATTGTAATGGCAAATGCAAAGAAATCTGGGTAGCTCGATAACCACGCAACATCCATGTGTACAGTACTGTTTAGGTATGTGCTGATCTTGTAGTCTATGATGGAGTCAAAATATGCACTCCATGCTCTGGCCACACTAGCTGTTCCTATAGCAGAATAATTGCAACAATTGTAAAAACATAGAGAACACCTTTCATTTTAATTAATACAGACATATCAAAAACATATTGGAATAAACAACAGAACTAAAGTGCCAATACCTATCTCTTGCCCTAAGATAGAAAACATTTCAGAAAAATCTGTAAATTGCATCAGCAATAGAATTTATAACAAATGGCCTCTTTTCAGTATTTTAGTATGTGCATGTACCTTTTGTAAATCGAACACACCATGCCACCGTGAGTGATTTGGTATTTGGTAGGATTTGGTATTTTCGGAAGAGAAGCTTTGTATTAAGTCTGTTAATGATGTAGGCAGTTAGAATTTCTAAAAACTGGGGTTTAATTTTAAAGGCTTTTGAGAGAGCTTTTTAATAACCAATGTGATATTTTTTATTGTGTATGTATAGTGCAGATTGATATTCTTATTTTTTGAAGACAGTCTCAGATTTTGCATCCCTCATATTTAAGTGAGCCTACCTATTACATATTCTAGAATTAGGTTCCAGCCAATGATAAAGGCCCATAGCTCTCCAACTGTCACATAACTGTACACATAGGCAGAACCAGTCTTTGGTACTCGGGCTCCAAACTCAGCATAGCACAAGCCTGAAATGACAATAATTCAATTAAAACTATTGCTTCATTTAATTGCCTTTTAAAGATGTATTGTCCATAACAGGGAAGACTCGAGGAATTCATGTATTTTCACCTGCTCCTAAAACGATAAATGAGGGACAAGTAAATCAGAAAGAAATTCAAAGTATAAAGGTGACGAATCAGTTCACGAGTGCTGCCCTCTTAATAACAAGTCATAATCAATGTGTAGATTTCTTTATTAAAGGAATAGTAACCCTTGCCAATGATTTGTTTCACTCAAGTTGTAATAATATGAAAACTAAAGGTTATGGATTTATGTTAAAATTATTAATGATTTTCTTAATCTGAATGTTCTTTATCTTTTCTATAGATGGAAAGAATCCAGATCTAAGTGATAAGTTAATGGATGTATTGAGTTGTTTATATATAATGTTTTTTTAATGTTTTGACATATTGACATAGATTACTCACATTTCTCCCTAACTAAACTTCTACATCTACAGATTTAATATGCATATTGAAATCAAACGAAAGAGGCAATATTTAAAGAGTGATGTGCTGACTATTCTAAGCTGTTAAGTGAATGATAAATAAATTTAACAAAATGTCATTACAAGCTGATATTACCACTTGAGGTAATATTTGTAAATAAATCCTCACTGTTCAAATTTTGGTTAGATTTCAGGAAGTTTACTAAAAAATGTTTTCCTGTGTTGAGAAAGCTTTGTACATTTTATGATAAAATGTACATGATATGTACTGTATGTTACATAACCTTTCATTTACAAGTTTTGGTAAGGAAATGTTAATGTTGTTTGTTTTAAAAGATAAATAAACCTAGTTGTATCGACTTTACATGTTAGCCATAATACATTCTATTACTCCAGTCCCTGGAGGTGTCGCAGAACAAAAAAATCAGAATGGTTCGGTTTGGAACATAATGCTTCAAAATGGAACAGAGTGACTGTGTATTTTAGATTACTTTAAAACCCATGCGTCATAGTCAAAACTCTTCAATGAGAAAATGAACTTCTTTTGGTGTAAAATATTGAAAGAGAAATGCTGTTTTGTGGGTCAAAAGCTGTGAAAAAATGAGATTTTTTGTTCCAGGACGGAACTGAAAGGTCCATGTGCTGTATGGCAAGTGATTGTAGACAGCCATATCTTTCACCATGAGTACTTTCTGGATATAAATACAGTGGTTTTTATTAAAACAATATGTTTTCTTTAAGGTGAAGTCCACATGATAGTAAAATATCAATCCAACTCTCTGAAAAATTATGGATTGGGACCCCACCTTGTCACTTTTTTAAAAATGTAAGGCTTATTTTCTAAAAAGAGGATCTTGTTTTTCTCAATTTAAACATATCAAAAGTTTCTTCTACACTATATTAATAACTTCTGAAAAGGGGATGGGTATTGAAATGCGATAAAGTCAAAAACCACATTTCCCATGTTATTTTCCCATAGGGAAAATTCATGCTATCCATTGTTTTCAGCATGCTTTTGGTCATTGAAAATTGATATCTTCAAAACTAGACTTTCAATACCATTCTACTTTTGAAGATGTTTTAGAGCCCTTGTTGAATAATCTTTTCATGCAATAAAATCAGAAAAAGAAGATCCTCTTTTGTGCAAATAAGTTCAACATTTTGAAAAAATTGTTGACCTGGGGTCCCTATTTATAATTTTTCGAATTGTTCGATTGATAAAATATACTGTTTTGATGAAACCACTGTATTTATGCCCAGAAAGTACTCATGGTGAACGATATGACCGTCTAAAATCAGTTGCCATACTGCCCATTGACCTTTTGGATTTTTGTTCCATGTTCTGGACCAAAGAGCCTAATTTTGTTGGTCGGAAGAAAATTGGGTATCTGTGACACCTCTACCAGTCCCAGTACCTCTCTGCTTTAATGAATGAATGTGGTGTTCTTATTCATCTGGAAAGACCATCGTAACATTATTCAGAAAATACTGTTTGATTATTTCTTAAAGTGAAGTGTGAAAATGTGCTAGCCATGTTTAAAAGTTGAAGACATTTTAACTGAACACAGCCTTAATGATGATATGTTCAACAATGACAATGAAGAGTATGATTTCTATCTTGCTATATCCTCCCAACAATGCAAACGTAAATTACTAGCCCACAAACTCTATACACTGGTATTTTATAAAACTATCAAACAAACTCCCCCTTCCTTTCTGAAGAAATATCTTACTTAAGGTAAATTACTTTATTCACTTAAAGATCAAAGCCAGAGAGGTTCGTGTTTATGAGAGATGTTTTTATGTATACACACAATCAAAGTGAAAGAAATAAGTATTATTACAGAACTATGTTCATGAGAATGTGTTTTTAACTTTCTCTGGATGAACAATTGAAATGGTGCCTTGGAGATGATTTCATTATTTGGTGCAAAAATTAGGTTTTTATTTGAAAATTGTGTCAAATGATATTTAGGCTACTGACTGGTAACCTCTATTTGATTCTACGTTAAATGTGTTTCTGCACAGGAATTTTTCTATTGTGCAACCATTTAAAAATTATTTGGCTTTTATTCAATTGAAACAGCATTTCTAATCTTATATTAGATTCCCTGATCAACATGCAGTGAAGCACCTCTCTTATCTGAACACCTCTCAATGTGAACACTTTTTCTGGGTCTCAAAATTATTTTCTCTCATTGACTAACATGTTTATAAAACCTTGAAATGTGAACACCTGCTAATCTGAACACTTTTGTCCAGTCCCAGAGGTAATCAGAGGTTTTACTGTACACATTTTTACATTACATACTTAGCGTAAGATTAGAAATCTCAAGGCACAGAATGTGGACAAAGTCCCGAGTCTCGGGCTGGGACTATAGAGGAAAAAACATGAACATTTAAAATAAACCCCTCGTGAACCCTAAGGCAAAAAATGCACAAACAAATAGCTGAACAAAGTTATGCAAATGTGATTTACATCTATTAGTAATCTCTCAAATATATTTACCAGCTAACACAGATGCCACTGCAGCAACAAAGAAGGCAAGGACAACAGAAGGACCAGCTGATTGCTTTGCTACCTGGCCTGCCACAACATAAATACCAGCTCCAAGTGTACTGCCAATACCTACAACAGAGAACCAGCATACAATTAATATAACGCATATTATGGCAACACCAAGGTGTAGCAAATTCCTTCAAACATCTTATAACATTGCTAGATATTATTTCACAAAACGTCCATCATGCTGAAATTGAAATATGGCAAGTAATATTCTGCCAACAGCAAATGGCTGCTAACTCACCAAAATATGAAGCAGTGTATCATGTTTACAGATATTTAATATAAACAACAAATCGTACTAACAAATTGCTGTACTACATTTCAGGTCACAGCAAAAAAACGTAAACTATAAAGAGTACATATACTGTACTTCTACTTAATTTGGTGCTACTTATTTTGGCGGATTTGTTGTTTTGAACATTTGGTTGCTACTTTATTTGGCGGACTTGCAATATTACAATGTACTAATATTGGTACCAATTAACATGGTACTAAAATTACTGGGGAATTTGGCAGCGACTTAATTTGGGGGACTTTATTAATGGCACCAAATTAAAACAGCCGCTAAATTATGTAGAAGTAACCTGCAACGTGCGATAAGTATATACATGTACATGCATGCATAAGTACCAGCATGCAAATGTATGGAAAAAAGTGCTAGAAATCATCTGTTACAATGAGGCATTTATTCATTTTTTGAGCGATTAACTCTTTCTAAATTCATGAAAATTTCTCTCAAAGAGAAACATTTTAGAAATATACAGGATGAGAGAGAAGTTGAGTTGTGTTGAATTAAGTGTTAGTTTTATGTCTACCTGACTGCTTCTCAAGTTATTACTATAACACGTTATTACTTTTCATTATCATGGTAACAGATATTGCCTATCTATTCAAACTTATAATATATTTATACAATATGTGTTCAAAGTAAACAATTCAAGTCTATCTAAACATAAATTCTCATAAGATATAGCAAATTACAGAACTTTAACTATTGTTACAGATGCAAATGCTAATCACTGAAAGTTAATCGCAAATCAATGGTAATACAATTGCCATAGAAAATGTCACAACTTCTTGCCAGCATAGAGTGACAAAAAATTAATGTTGATTTTCATCACTAATGAAACAAAATGAATTAGATTTGAACACCGACTCCCAATTTAAAATTCTCCACTTTCTATTCCGAATCCAACTTCGATAATTTGAAGGCCTCCTTTAGGAGTGAAATGAACTCACCTAATGCAGTTAGATCAAAAGTAGACAAACATCTTGCAAGTTTGGTTTCTGAGACAGTTGAAAGATCGATATACTTCTTCCGTATCAACCGTCCAACAAATCTTGACATATTCAATCTCCTTTACTTCTAGCTTCTTTTGGTTGAATATAAACTCAGCCTTCTTAGAACTATAAGCTGCCGGGTAGATATTATACACGTATGGCCTCTCTCATCTATATTACGTCCTGGAAAGAAAAACAGACAATTTCTACCTGTGAAATCTACATCTGAACTTGTTGAATGCTGCAATTCAATAATCACATGATGAACAATGACTTTCTCCATAACAATGATGATACGCTGTAGATACCATTATTTGCATTCACATTCAGAAAATACTTGTTAGTACTGTGCAAGGCTACTCCAATAAGACAAATGTTTCCAATAAATTACAAATGTGTCTGCAATGGAAGAGTTGTTTTATCGGTGGGTAAATTGGTGCAAGATGGGTTTTGGTTGTGCTTGATACTGATATTTAACATACAGAAATCTGACAAGTCACTTAAAACATCAAATATTTCCAATTGAATTCAAATATATCTCAAATTCAAATAAAGTTCTTCAAGTAAAAAATCATGAGCAACATATTGTCTGACTCATCATATAAAAGATAATTTAAGATTAAATATGTAAATTTCTTAAAAACTCATTAAAAGGAGGCTTCGATAGGATTTTAAAATAAAGCAAAATCTCTATTTGAAAGTGCTATATGATTCCTTCACCTCAAGATGTAAGTACATGTGCGTACATATTAATGGCCAAACAAGCTACATATTCATGATTTATTTGGAGTGGCCTGGTGATAAGTATTTGTCAATACAGAACCATGTGATAAATTAATGATCAACTTCTGTTTGTCATTTGGTTTTAACTGCAATCATATGCATCATTGAAGTAATTATGTTCACCAGGGGAATATTCTGAAATCTGAGAACCTTATTGAAAATGTGTGCCAATTTTCAAAATTTAAGCCCTATTTTCATAGGGGTAGGGGGTTTGTTTTTTGATCAGAAAGATCGATAGATATGACATCTGACCAAGGGTGCAAGGAGGAAATATAAAATATATCATTCTATGGGATAAAACCCATAAACCCCAAAACTTCGCGGGGCTCATTTAACACGCTAAAACAGAAAAAATCAATACTCCTATTCGTGATAAGAGTTCAGGTGGTAATTTACATAAATATCTCCCATGATGCATCGCTTTGGAAGGGACAAATTTTCATTGGCCCGCCAAACAAGTCGATTTCTCTGAACGTTTCTAAGCTTCTGATCTTCCATCAGCCCTCAAGCATAATTATATGATCCAATCTATTCAATAATCAGAAAGATAATCGGAGATTCAAAGTAAAATTTCTGGGATATCAGTGACGTCACTGGAATTGGACAGCATTTTCAACTACAGATTTCTTCGGATTTGGGGATTACAGTTCAAAAAGCTTTGTCATATATCTTAATTACATATATACCCTATCGTTTGTGCAAATGAAACTCGACATAAATATTTAATAGAGTCGCAGTGCGGCATTGAAAATAGCACCCCTGTGTAATCCAATGGGAAAGAACCCAGATGTAGACGAAGCTGTACCATACATGAGAGCTCTTCAAACGGGAGGTAGCTAAACTGAACTAAATTAAACATTATGTTATCGCGTATTGGTATATTGATAACTGCACCACGTATGTGAAGCGTAATGGTCCCATTCATATTGAAAAGGTTCATATACGTAAAGACTACCTTCATAATACTGTTAATACTTACAGTATTATGCATGAACTCAATAATATTCCACTGGGTAGATACCATATTCTCTGGAATAAGGGCCCATCCCCTAAAAGCGCCTATTCCCCTTCTCAAAGAATATAGTGACACGATAATATTAATTTACATATGTTTTCAGCATAACTCTGAGATATTAATGAGATCTTGATGTATTGGGTATTTTTAATATTTAACGTATACATAAAAATATTGGGTGAGACTTGAGATAATGTATGCGGCGCCAGTCAAAATTGAAACTTCTGATTGGGTTCGAAGCCGAGATGCCCGGATATGTCCCAGCAAAAGCCGGAATTCACGTGATTTTTCACGAAGAAGGGGCGGAGTTTAAGCGAGATTCATCGAGACTTCTTCGTGTCAATCGTGTCAATCCCTGCATTGCTTATTGTTAACTCCACCTTTTTGCCCATATATGGAGTTGGAGATGCCACTTGCGAGCGTGAACAGTTCAGTCTAGAAATAGAAATTTCTTAAGCGATGTCTTTCTTCAATTTTTCTACACGATATCTCGATAAATAGTGGACATATTTGTACCATTCTTTCGTCAAAATGAGGGTATCGCTGGAATACATATTTCCAATCTGTTGGTCAATAGATTTATTCATTGATACTGGCAGGAATTAGATCGTAATAAACATGCTAAAATTGTAAAACTTGGAACGTTTGACAGTAATCTCCGAGTAATGTATGAATTGCATCGGGAGAAAGCAGGAGAAAAGATGGGACAGTCTGTTGTGTGGAGTTTGCAAAGCAATCCCGGATATAAATGACGTCATCTTAGCAGTTTACATGGTTTCGAAAGTGATATATTTTTGTGTCGTAGTGATGAGTTTGAATTATGTCGATTATTCGATTGTTATATATAAATAAACATCGATCTTCGGTGAAGATAAAGTAAGAACAACATATACCAGGTCGTTCAATAAGTTCACGGAAAAATGCTCTCATTTCAAAGATTTTTGATATTTTCTCATGAAATTTTCACACAATGAATAAAAAATACTTTCTGATTGAATATCAAAATATCAGCATCTCTTATTTGATTGGTCAAAAATAAGGGTTACTATGGTAACTTGACTTTTGGGTATGCGGGGCACTTTTTACGTCACATTATTCATTAGAAAAACAACAGAATAGTAGGCAGTTTGTGAGTATATCACATGAATTTCTTCTCCGCTTTCTACTTGTACATGGTATTACTTAATGCAATAGTTACAACTATTGTCCCATAAGGTTTCAGAAATATTCTCCCTCATGTTTAATGCACAGTCGCTTACATTCAGCCCATTGACGATACAGTGCTCTGAAGCCATCTGGAAAACTTGTTTAAAAGGCAATCTTGACTGCAGTCAAAAGTTGTTTCATTGTTCCATAAAGTGCACCTCTTAGCTGATCCTTCATCCTAGTGAAAACAGCAAAATCAAGGATTGTCTCATCTGGAGATTTTGTAACTTGGGGCAGCTTTGCCATCTATTTTGCCAATTAATTGAGATGGTTTCTTGCACAATATTAGCAGTGTGATCGGCTGCATTATTACTATGGAACAATTTAGAGTTTGGCTGGTGGTTAAGTTTTAATCAACTTCCCATAGCATATACTATACTCTTTGTTGATTTTCTGGTCCACTGGTACAGCATTGACTAGCACGATTCCAGAAATGTTCGTGATAATAAGGAACATCAATTTTCCCTCAGAACATTTGTAATATAAATAAGAACAAATAAAAAATAGGGATCCTTCATTTGCACATATTGATAGATATATGTAATGGTAAATTGTGTGACGTAAAAAGTGCCCCGCCTACCCAAAAGTCAAGTTACCATAGTAACCCTTATTTTTGACCAATCAAATTTGAGATGCTGATATTTTAGGAATCAATCAGAAAGTATTTTTTGCACATTGTGTGAAAATTTTATGGGAAAATATCAAGAATCTTTGAAATGAGAGCATTTTTCCGTGAACTTATTGAACGACCTGGTATATCCGAGAAACATGTTGGTAAGTACAGTATTTCATTTATAATGGCAGAAAATCAAATTGAATCGAAATCGAATTTTCAACTTTTTCAATTTTTTTTCGTTCGATTAATCTATTTTGATTTTCAATTTGATTTTTACATTCTATCTTCTTCGTCCTGCGGGACTATACTAGGCATAGGCCCGGAACATGTATAACATGAGTCAAATTCACTTAAATAGAACATGCTGTAAGCTTTATTTCTTTACATTTTTACGGGCCTATGCCTGGGCTATGACTCTAGGCCTAGACTACTAGATCTATAGGCCTTAGACTAGCCTAAAGCTAGAGCCTTAGATCTAGCTCTTTCAGAGGCTGTGACTGATATGTTAGAACAGCCTTTAGAGCCCCCTATCAACCGCTTCAAAATTGTGTTAGTGTCCTCCCTGCGAAAATCGAAAAAAATTAAAAGGTGCTTTTGTGCCGAACAGCAAATTCTCATTATTCATTGAGAATCTACTCTTTACCAAGGAACCAAAAATGGAAGTTTTGACGGAAAGACATGACGTACAAGTCAAAATCTCTGAATCTTGCTAGGTACATGACAGATAAAGAGAATTTAAATCCTGATCGGCAAAAAAGCGGCTAATAACTTACATATTTTCTCAACAAAAAGCACTGATGTAGCTCACATTGGGAGATAGTAGTAAGCACTTGAAGTTGATTTCAGTAGATCAGTTACACCTGTCATGATTTCAAGGAAAGACACAAAGTATCCGTCAAAAGAGAAAAGCTTACATAAATGCGAGCAAAATCTGCAGATTTATTATAGCTATTGACTTCTCGAATATGTTGAACGCACAACTCTAAACAATACTTGAAATTGAATAAAATTGACAAAATATGAGAAGACAGTCTAAAACCTAACTGGGAGAGCTGCCATTGTTTGCCCGGAAATCTTCAGAGATTTTGACTGGTACTTTGTGTCTTTCCATCAAAATTGCCATTTTGGTTTCTCACTGGGTAATTCACAGATGAAGAGAAATCTTGATTGACAAAAATACAGCTGATAGCTAACAGCTTTTCTTAAACAGAAGATAAAGGAAGATATAAAGGAACCTGTTATGATTTTGAAGCGGGTGATAGCCGATAGGGGGCATGTTAAGGCTGTAAGTAGAGGGTGTAGCCGAATAAATCTAACCCAAATAGAGTTTAACACATCTCAGTATAGGCAAAATTAAAATTCATTAAAGTTTCATCACTTTAGCATGTGTACATTTGCTGGCCTTCTAATATTTTGCCAATAGATTTGTTAGGCTTGATTGCAAATTCTTATGAAATATAAGTGTATGGTTTCAATGTACTGTACTCCCGATATTTTTCGCGTGCAATTTAGTTTCGTGCTTTTCGCGATTGTGTAAAAATCACGAAAATTAATAGTCGCGAA